TGGCTTGTGTGACTTCAGGGGGTCCAGTCTGTCCTTCTCCAGCTGTTTCCTCGTACTTCGTTGGCGGGGCTCACGGAACATGGGCAAGGCGTGAGCTGTGAGAAGTCACATTTGAAAAATTTCATTATAATAATAACCCTTCATCCAAAACATAGCTAATGCATGACTAACTGAAACATGAAATGGAAATCATAATGACAGCCTTCATTTAATAATAAAAGACAGCCTTACTGTAACCAATTAGCCAATTTTGTTTGATACCAGACTCACTGTTCACCTCCACTGGCAGCTAATGGCTCTCAGGAAGCACTGTCATGGAAACACTGGTGAGTCTCATCTCCCTAACCATGGGGTAAAGCTCAGCTGCTGTGGTTTTGAAAAGAAACACTTCAGGAAACCACTTCCTTATTTGTTCTTACAGCACCCAAATACCAATAACAGCAACAGTGTGCCTGTCTGTCCTCAAGTTTCCTCAGATGCCTCCTAAACACTGGAGTCACTTCGCACGTTTCTGAAATGTGACCACCTCTCAGCAGTGGAGTCACAACACTGAGTACTGGAAGGGAGGAGCACTTAGCCCACTGGAAGTGGGTAAAGGCTGCCTTGAATGCAGGGGGCCTGAGTCTCCCAGCGGGGGCACTTGGCCCTCCTTCCACATGGTTGGTACACAAAACAAGAAGGTAATGAAAAGTCAGAGGCACATGTGTCCAACTACTGTCAGGTGTCACTCCATTCCAGAATTAGATTTTAAACATAAAAAGGATATAGATTGAAGGAGAAACCATGTAACATTTGGGGGGAAAGGGTTATTGTGGAGTATGAAATAGCTATCTTTTTGTTGACTTGGAATTGCTGTCAGCCATTATATATAGACTAAAACCTGTTTTAAAAGAGAACACGTTTTCATGGGACGGAGAAGACAAAGGTTAAATGTAATTTATAATCTAAATAAAACATCTCTAACACCCCAAAAACTCTTCCAGTCAGTCACCCACTCGCACCTTCTGCCCCTATTTCCAGGTAAGGCCAGTCCACATCACTCACAGGAAACCATGCCTGCCGTGAGTCAGGGAAGCTAAGCAAGCACATCTCCCTCATCACTCCGCCAGCCAACATGACGCGCAGGATTTTTAGGTAGGAAAAACTGCTTTTCACTTCAAATGGCTGGAGGAATTTAAGTGGGCCATGTGTAATTCATGCGCTGGACTGGCTATGACCTCAACTTCAACACTGCTACTCTCTCAGAGTGTCATGGGCTCTCTTGACTGATCACAAGCCCCACAGAGACCCATCAGCAGGAAGAAGGCCAGCAGGGGAGCAGCTGTGCATGGGCTTTAGACTGAGACACTGGTAAAGTCCACAGGGCCACTCTCTAGTACTCATCTCTGTGGCACCAAGGTTTCCTTCCGGGCCTGTTATAGGTCTGAGGCTATGGCTTTTGAAACACAGACCTATCAAGTTAATAAGGTGGTGTGACCCACCTGAGAGAAACCATTCTGCCCTGGTAGGCTTTCTGTTCACACTTCAGATTTTATACAGAAAGTCCTCCAAGTGTGTTAGCACATGGTCATCGATTCCTTAACTAATCCCACTGATGAACTTTGTTCAACATCACACTGCCAGTCCATGGTACAAAAAGACAAATTCAGGGCTCCTAAGTCTAAGCTCAGCATTCCTTCTTGTTTATTCACTGAATAATATGTTGGTCTTTAAAATGCTGTGATAGAATAATGCATTCCACTCAGACAGGCGCTTCTCATTTGGATGAGGAGTTATGTGAGGCAAGCCTCATTTCTGCAAAGAATCAAGAAGCTAAGTGATGTTGTCATAAGACTTGTACCTGTGTCCACATGACAGGAGATGACGTGATAGATGCCACAACTCTAGGGCCTTTCCAACTTCCCAAACAAGCAAAGATGAAGGCGACAGAGCAGAGTGATGTGAGACAGGGAGGAGAGGAAAGCCAACAACAACTTACGCGTGATGATGTAGTCCTGGGTGAGTGTCTCAGCTTGTTTGGCCTTCCGCTGGGTTTTAACCACACATAATTTTGCTCCCCTACAATGAGTTCAAACAAATTATTTTCTTTAGTTCATCTTAGGAACAGGTAGAGCTGAAACACTGAATTCTGGTTCCATTAAAGACTTCTCAAAGCATTCACATGCACACGCACGCACACGCACACACACTCACACACAACCCTACCTCTGTACCTCTGTATGTAGCAGACCCCAGCAGAAATTACTCCATGATAGATGGAGGTAACCCTGAAACACTGGAAGTTCTCAGCCAATGCATTTTTTAAATGAATTTTAAGGTTCCCATACAAAACATGGGTTTTGTTGTAGCCTTTTCATTAATCATGAGATGTTTTTAGAAGCAGTCCATGCAGACTATCCTGTCAAATCCTTAGCTTTCTGAGAGAGACCAACAGATGGGGGCTTGATGACAATGATTACTGAACTCTCAGAAACTCCAGTCTACATGTTGGGGTCCCCCAAGTGAAAGGGCAAAAGAGGTGCCAAGGCATTTAAGACACAAATTTAAAGAGAAATCCACAAAAATGATTTAAAAATGTAAGATGTTCAAGAAACTTTATAAATTAACCACCCTTTTCACCTTAAAGGTCACAGGAGTCCAATTTTAGCCTATGTTCCAGATGAGAGCAACCAGGGTCACACCCAGCAGGCCACCAGCTCGGCATATGTCCGTGTCTCAAATGTCTGGACTGGGGCACACCTAGCAGCATGGCTCAGTGGCTACAGCCCAAAGAGCCAAAAGTCCATGTAAAGTGCCTGCCTCACCTCAGTGATGCCGGGCCGTCTCTCTGAAGAGCATGTAGATAAGCAGATCTCATAGATCCCAGGTTAAGACAGCACCTCCCAAGTGGGTGTCACAATATAAGGCCACTGTCTTTTTAAGTTAGCAAACTCCACGCCAGTACATTAACATTTTTACTTGATTAATAAAATCCTACTCATTGTAAAATATCATTATATAACTTTATTTTACAGGGCAAGGGTTTCAATGCTAGTTCAGAAATCTCTGAAGAAGACAGATTTGTCCACTTCTTTTTAGAGCAAAATTATGGTCAATGAAACTTCATTTATAAAGATTAGTGTTCCTTTCCTCTGAAAGCACGTAAGACCTCAAAACAGGCTTAGCATATGAATTTGTATACTAACAGAAAGGGGCAAGACCATCTTCTTTGGGGTGGTAACATATGTTCACCTTGTGGAAGAGAAAATAGAGATACCCAAGGAACTAGATGAGCCTCTCAGGAAGTTTCCAGACCTTGGGATTAAATTGATGTACTTATGTTTGACCTGGGGTGAGCTAGGGGCTGAGGAAAAAGTTCATGTGCTATTCCTTTCTGTTGATACAGCAGAACCTTGTCAGATATCCAAACTAGTACCTGTTAAAGCCAAACAAGAGAGGAAAGAAGATGGAAAAGCTGCTTCTGTTTTGTGTGAGTGGCCAGTCCCTGTTTTGTTAATGCCCCACATGTATCACTACTGATGCCACTGTCCAGGGTGTACAAAGAGCAAGCAGACCTTCCCCCACCCTGCACTCAACATTTCAGCCAAAGGACTGCAAATCCCCAGGGAACTTTCGCTTTGAATTCAGTGCAGATCAAGGGTGAGATCTAAATCCCCTTTAAAGCACAAGGCTAGGAGTCTGCGGCTTTACTTTGTACCAGCTGCCTTTTCTGACAGGGTGGATCCCATCAAAGAGAGAAAAGAAGAAAAGCAGGGGTGAATCAAAGCCCCCCCAGCTGTTGTCCTCCATCTCCAACAGGCCATGCCTAGGAAATACCTCTGGCTTTTGTTGGGGTCGTAATACACTTTTGCCAATCCATTTCCAGTTCCAACCATGATCTGGTTCAGCTTTGGATGCCACAGGCAGCGGACAACACTCTAGAAAGGACAGGTATAGAAGTCAACTCAAGACACCAAATAAAAATGAGGGGCAGGAGGACCACTGCTGAGACTCTGGTGGTTACTATGTCAAGTGTCAATGTGAGAGTAACCTGCAACTTTTCAGATGCTTTCTTCTGAACCCTAACATTGCATTCTGTAAGTTATGTTTCATCCCACCTCTTGTTATCCATGTGAAATGCTACAAAAATCTAAGATGTTCACTTCTGTACATGATGACAACCCTCTTTTCCTTGGAACCACAGTTAGGTGGTCCAGTTCCAGGTGAGCCTGGCACTGTGGAATGCTGGCTCCCTGTGAAGCGAAGCACCACAGCAGATCTAGATCTGGCTTTCATGCTTTTTACACACACAATATGTCCCGCTGGACTCAGATTGAGGCCAGGTGGTTATTGTTTTTAGTTCATAAAGATCCAAGCCTCATTAAGTTTTTTTTTTTTTACAAAGAGCACATATTGGTAGACAATTAATAATCTCTCCCTGCCTGTGAGATAAAACAGCAAAGCCATGACAGAAATAAAGCAGATATCAAATGCAAAGCCTTGATATTAACCTGATGGAAAGCTATATTTAAAGAGGTGGCTCACTGGAACCTATGACCCTCTGAATTCATTTCTGGTGAGGAATCAGTGGTGCTCCAGGGTCCCAAAGAACCTGAGTTTTGAGTTCTCACCACCTGTTTTCATTTTGTTTGGGATAAGAGGGAAGAGGTGGGAAGGACAGCACAAAGAGAACCACAGGGGAAACCCGAAACTAACAATGGAAGGCACAAACCCCACACACCAAGTTCTACAAAGCTCGTCTGGAGCAAGATGAGGGGAAGCGCTGAGTCAGCATTCCCCAGCAGTCCATTTCCTGACACGCTCTGCATGTGGACTAAGGGGAAAGAGGGTGCACAGACGCTGACAAGTGAGGTCCTCGGGGTAAAATCAAAGTCCTGGAGCTCCGTCACCTGTGGCCCATGTTCTCTGAGTCTCTGACCCTAACTCTCTCATCAAGACGGGAAACTCTGAGATCCCGAGATCCCTTTAGGTAGAAATTCTGACTCTCATCTGATTGGCAATAGTCAAATGGCTACAAACCCTGTTCTGATATTCCAGAAGAGCTATGGAGGAAGCTAAAAAGAGCCTGCAAGTTTCTAATTCACATCCAGCAATCTTCCAAGGTGTGTGTCACTGAAGTGGACTGACTCATTCTACAGAGAGGCAGTGTTGCATTTCCCCCATTGTTGGAAGGGAGAGAGATAACTCGAAAGGGCAGGTTTTCACACTATTTTAGCTTTCTTTTCACACTTTTCCTCAGATCTATGGCACTCCTATCCAATGTCTGCTAATGAGTGCTTAAAAAAAAAAAAAAGAAAACAAAACAGTAACAGGAGTAATACTTGAAATGAATCCATTATATTGATGGTTTGGTTTTCCTTTCTCTCTGTTTTCCATGTACTTAGTTATGGGAAGGGGCGCTTGTGTCCGCCACAGCACGTGTGCGGAGGTCAGAGGACAGTGTAAGTCTGTTCTCCCCTTCCACTACATGGGTTCCTGGGCCTGAGGTCCCCTACCTGCTGAGCCATCACAGCAGACCCTCTGTCTCTCTCCTCCCTGTCCTTAGCTCTTCTGTGTCACTGCTGCCTTGTGCACACATTCATGGAAGGAACTTTAGGATGCATGTGCGATTCCCTTCCTAATAAATACTGCTCCGGGTTGGCGAGATGGAAGGAAGTGTGTCAACAGCTGATATTCTGCAGGGGCTTTGCCACCGCGATGAACGTGAGAACTATGCCTAGGCCACTGAAAACTTCCTGGTGTTGGGTATATGGACACACGGGAAGAGTCACAATCACAGACTCCTAACATGTCTCTGTAACCCTACCTAAGATAGGATCACCTGAGCCAACCCCATCTCAGGTCTCTGCTTAAATGTCGTCACTTCTCACATAGTCGTATTTAAAACTTTGATCCTTTAAGCCAGGCAGTGGTGGCGCACACCATTAATCCCAGGACTCAGAAGGCAGAGGCAGGTGAATCTTTGTGAGTTCAAGGGCAGCCTGGTCTACAGATCAAGTTCCAGGACAGCCAGAACTACACAGAGAAACCCTGTCATAAAAAACAAACAAACAATCAAACAAACAAGACTAGACCCTTTAACTCTGTTCACTCTGCTTTTCTTTATGTCACAGCAAATATCTTTAATGTAGAAATTTCTTTATAGCCTATGCTATATCTTCTCAACTAGAATTCATGTCCCATGGCCAGAGATCTGGATCAGTTTTGTTTGGCAGTATATTCCAGGTGCTTAGACTAGTAGCTGGTGCTCTGCAAATGAGTTAAAAGTTATGGGCCACCCATACCAGAATGGGTTACTTTGTTAAGCAGAGTTGGAAACAATTTTCAAGTTAAAAATAATTCCTTTCCATAAGACTTTGATTTCTGTTTCTCACTATTACAGTCAACTATCATACAAATCCAGCAGAGTTGGTTTCCTTCTGCAGTCTTGGTGAGAACATGTGCATGAACCAGAGAGCAAGGGAAGGCACTAAGGGGCTTTGAGTGCCTTCAGGAACCCCAGCCACCTGTGAACAGCCCCAGGACAATGTTAAGGGCATGGCTTTAGAGTTCTTTCTTTTCCTTGGTTCTCTAGAGGACTGGCTAAGCAGTTACAGGTTCTCAAATATGTTTTCAAGTGAGCAGGGTGAAGAATTGGAAAAGGTCCACAATGTAGGCCTGATAAATTCCAAGACACCCAGCCAAATAGGCAGTTTCCAGGGGCAGCAGGTTACTGTTACTCTCTCCCTCTCCACCAAGGGTGTAAATGTTAGAGAGGCAACTGCTTGGGCCAACAGACCAATGTCTGGTTGCTTTCCAGGGCGTCTGAAGGCATTTCACCTCTATTCTTGCTCACATCCTTTATCTCCAGAGCTCTAAGACACACCACCCAATACTCTGCTCAGCATAGGCTCCTAGGGACAAGCACATTTACCCTCTTCCCATGCTGAAGCCAGGAAAGGCAAGTAAGAGCCCTTGAACTAAACAGTTACTCCAGAGATCTATCCACTCTGGCAATGAGTCATCAAAGCAGCCAATGAGGGGCCTGTGAGCAGACTAACTTAGGCAAAGGACACTTAAGGCTCAATTACCTTAAGACTGGTTATTAATCAAATACTACAGGGATTCCAAAACACAGAACGAAGAAACAGAATTCAAAGTCAAAGGTGGGTGGGCCTTTTTTGTTTATTAATATTTATTGTGTGTGTTTAGCTAACCTTTGTAAACTTTGCAGCTAATGCGCCTCCATACTTTGTCCTGTCAAGGAAATGCATCTTATAGCAGAGAGCTGGCCATTTGCCAAACCAAACAATCCAAGTCGGCGGCAGCAAGCGGAGTTGCCACACTGCTAACTTGTCAAACATCTATACTGGGCTTTGCTTAACAACAATGGACATGGGCCTGCTAGGAGCAGAACCATCAGAAGACAGATGAGCTATAAATACACAGCAAGAGGGTGATCACTCTCAGTCAACCAGACCACGCTCTTTGTAAGAGATGCCTCTTTGGTTAACATGCCTAGACCCATGACATGTACTGATCAATGCTGCAAAGCAAGGGAAGGGACATTCCCAAATCAAGGGACTCGAGAAGATCCCGGAGTCCCAAGACCTACAATATCAAAGAGAAAGGCTTTACCACACCTTACAACAGCCAAGTGGCAGCAGGCCACTGCAATGCAAGAGCTAGGTTCTGAATTGAATCTGCACACTACACTATAGTGGTGTGCTTAATTAAACTGATAAAGTGTTTTAGTCTTTCACTAACCCATTTCATCTCACTGAAACATATGAGTCAACCAATGGCTACTGTTAGCTATCAAACCACAATTCCATTATGGCTCCAAGATAGTTTTATTATTATTTTTTTTAAAACAAAGCTCACCCTTGTTTTATTTTAGAATCTGGGCATGTAGAGTAACCACAAACTACCCCAAAGTACTTAGCTCTAGCAGCTGCCACCAACAGAGTAATGAAGGTTAGAAATCCTGAGCAAGATGGCCAGGATGAGTTATAATAATACATGAATGTGCTCAACACAGAGATCCCCCATCCCTGCAGAGACCAAAAGAAGAGGGGAGGGAAATGAGTAGCATGTCCTACCAACACTGTCAAGATTCCAAAACAGGAATTTTTGAATTACGCCTTAGCAAAAGTGAGATGGTCACAAAAATTCCAAATATTGATTTTTGGTTTTCCTGGTTTAGGTGGAACCATGGAAATGGGGAGAAGAGGGAAAGAAGGGCCATGCCTGGACATGTGTTTTAGGCACATGGAAAGGAATTGTAAGGTACCTGGAACTTTATATTATTATTATTTGATTTTATTATATTTACTTATTTATATATTGGGGGGTACATGTGCGGTGGGGAAAACCGTCAGAGGATAACTTTCAGAAGACAGTTCTGTCTTTCTACCATACATAGCTGGGGTATTGCACTCAGGTCATCAGGCTTAGTGGCAAGTATCTCTTCCCAGTGAACAATCTCACTGGCCCTGGAAGTTTATATTATTTGATATAATTGAGTCTTTACAAGAATAGTGACCTCATTCCATCTCATAGATGAAAAAAACTGAGACTGTGAGAGAGTAAAGCTTCTGAGTTACATAACGTATAACTAGAGGCAAGGGAATGGGCCGGGTACCTCCAATTCCATCACTCATTTCCTTATGCTATGTACCATGTGGAGCCTTATATTGAATGATGAAGAAAACTGGAAGGTTTTAAATAATTTCCAAACCTTCCAAACTCAGAAGCAGAATCTTAGCAAATTGATTTTAGAAAGGAAAAAAGGGGCTGGGACTGTGGTAAAATGCTTGACTAGCCTTCAAGTACCTTGCATCTGAGCCTAAAGATGCAAGGGGTGGGGGAAGATGGTACCACTAAAGCCAGAAGAAAAATCTACGTTCACAGATGCTGCTATAACAGAACACAATGC